CTGATCTTTTGGTCTGAAATCCACTGCTTATGCTACCATACCACACCAGTCAGTCATAAAAGGAAAAGCATTGTGTGAGACTGCTGTCGTAAAAAGTTATGAAAAGAGTTTCTTGTGAATGAAACATTCTATGATGGTTACAGGGCACGTGGGATGTGATGTGGAGAGGGAAAAATAAAGTGAATAGAGGTAAATATTGTTAAATGATGGTACATGGAGTGGATTTAATTATTGTAATGTATACCCAAAATGTATAATTGGTTGAAGGTGGGACTGATAATCTGTTCTGTAAACTTTTACTCAATTCCCAATTAAATATGTATATAAAAAGAAACAAACAAAGAAAGAAAGAAAGAAAAAGAAAAGACCAAAGTGGATGTCAGAAGAGACTCTGAAACTTGCTCTCTTGAGTGTGGTGGTGGTGATTATGTGCCATGGTGGTGGTTCCGACTCATAACGAACCTGTACAGGGTTTCTGAGGCTGTAAATCTTTATGGGAGCAGAAAGCCTCATCTTTCTCCCGTGGAACAGTTGGTAGTTTTGAACTGCTGACCTTGAGGTTCACAGCCCGATTCGTAACCACTATGCTACCAGAGCTCCTTCTCTTAAGTGTAGAGTATAGTGTAGAATAGCTAAATTATATTGAAGAAATGATAAAGTCAAAGAACTGAAAAAATGTTAAATGAGAGCTCAAGAAGACAAAGTCAAGTATTAGAATGTAATGTGCAAAGATTTGGAGTTAGAAAGCCAAAAGAGAAGGACACGCTTGGCATTTCTCAAGCTGAAAGAATTGAAGAAAAAATTCAAGCCCTGAGTTACAATATTGAAGATGCTGTAAAATAATCACTGGACTGCTAACCACAAAGTCAGCAGTTCAATCCCACTAGCCACGCTGTGGAAGAAAGATTTACATAAAGATTTTCAACCTCAGAATAACCTTTACAGCAGGGGTGGGGAACGTCCGGCCCACGACCCGTTTTAAGACCCACAGAATCATTTGGTCTGGTCTTGCCAAGACAACTGCAGTTCCAGCTGTCACATTAGGAGTGAGTTAATTAAATGTTTGACCAAATAGAGCAGGCTGATTTTTAAAAGTTTTTATTGTGAATTGAGTGATAGTTTACGCGGGGGAAACATCAGTTTTACACTCATCTCATTGTATTCATTTCATTGCAATGATTACAATTGTATTTGTTTTATTACAATGATTACAATCCCCTGCATGCTTCATCATTCAACAGTATTTGCTTCTATTCCCTGTGATTATTATTATTATTTTTTGAATGTGCACCAAAACACTCAGGAATATACAACAATTCAAACAGCTAAAGGGCACAGGTTGCAAGCCTGCCCACACCCCCTCCCCCAACCCCGTACCCCTGCCATCACACATCCCTCCTCCTTCCATGAGTCTAGAGTCCTCAGCTGCTCCCTCTCTCCATGTCATTGTCTCTGCCTCATCTCTGATGTCGCTGCTTCTCTGGGTAGGGTTACACAGAGTAGGGTGGTTTTTAAGTTGATAATTTTGCATGACCCACGAATGTGTTATAAATTTTGGCAGATAAAAGGTTCCCCATCCCTGCTTTACTGGGTCACTATGAAGTTGTAACTGACTTGATGGCAGTTTGGTTTTGGTTTTGGTATGGGCAAAATGTTTAACAATGCCAGAAGCATCAAAACAGATTGAAGAAATACACAATCACTGTAACTATAAGAATTGGTTGGCATTCAACCTTTTTTTAGGAAGTAGGATATGATCAAAAACCCATGGTGTTGAATGAAGAAATCAAAGTTACACTAAGGCATTAGCGAGAAACAAGACTCCAGGAATTGACGGAACACGTATTGAAATGTTTCAATAAACGGATGCAACGCTGGAATGTCAAGTAATTTGAGAGAAAACTACCTAGCCAACTAATTAGAAGAAATCCATATCTTTGCTCATTCCAAAGAAAAATGACATAACAGAATGCAGAATTATCAAACTGTATCATTAACATCACATGCAAGCAAAATTTTGCTGGTGATAATTCAAAAAGAGTTCCAGCATTTCATTGACAGGAATCTTCCAAAATTTCAAGCTGGATTCAGAAGAAGACATGGAATAAAGGATATCATTGCTTTTATCAGAAAACAGAGACTACTAGAAAGATGTTTACTTGTATTTGATTGACATTCAATTATGTGGATCATAACAAACTATGGCTAAAGCTGTGAAGAACAGGGATTCCAGAGCACTTGATTTGCACATGCAGAAACTGTACATAGACCAAGCAGCAGTAGTTTGAACAGAATGAAAGGATACTGAATAATTTAAAACCAGGCAAGGTGAATTTGAGGGTATTTGCAGAGCAATTAATCCAAGAAACTGTACTATATGAAGAAGAACATGATATTAAGATTGGAGGAGGAATCATTAACAAACTGGGATATGCAGATGACAACCTTTTTTGCTGGAAGTCAAGAGGACTTGAGGCATTTGCTGATGAAGATCAAAGACTACAGTCTTCAGTATGGATTGTACCTCAATGTAAAGGGAAAAAAACAACCCTCACAACTGGGCCAAAAAACATGATAAATGGAGAAAAGATTGAAGTTGTCAAGGATTTAATTTTACTTAGATCCACAATTAATACTCATGAAAGTAGCAATCAAGAATTCAAAGGATGTATTGCATTAGGCAAATCTGCTGCACAAGTACTCTTTAAAGTGCTAAAGATCAAAGCTGTCAGTCTGAGGACTAAAGTGTGCCTGACCCAAGCCATGGTATTTTAACTTGCTTCATATATATGTGAAAACTGGACAGTAAATAAGGAAGAGAAGAAAAGAATTGATGCATTTCAATTATACTATTGGTGAAGAATACTGAAAATACCGCGGACTGCTAGAAGAACTAACAAATCTTTCCTGTAAGATAGACAGTTAGAATGCTTCTCTAAAGTCAGGAAGGTGAGATGTCTTCTCATGCACTTTGGACACATTAGCAGGAGGGATCAGTCCCTGCAAAGGCACATTATGTTTGCTGAAGTGGAGGGTCAGCAAAAAAGGATACCGCCAATGAGATGGATTGGCACAGTGGCTGTAACAATGATCTCAGGCAGAATAATTGTGAGGGTGTTGCAAAACTGGGCAATGTGTCCGTCTGTTGTGCATAGGGTCACTGTGAGGTGGAGATGACTCAGGAGCACCTAACAACAACAACATCCATCCATTCATTCACATATTGAATAATTTTCTATCACCTCAAGAAGGCAAAGTAAAGCATTATAATGAAATGTGCTAAAACCGGAAGTTAGAAAACCAAAACGGAAGAGCATGTGCAACATTTCTACTAGGTGAAAGAATTGAAGGAAAAAAAAAAAAAAATCAAACCTTGAATTGTGATATTGAAGTTTTCTCTGGGCAAAATATTGAATGGCCCAGGATCAAAAGATGGAAGAGAAATAAACAGCCACTGAACTAAAAATAACTGGTTGATGTTCAACCATTTCAGGAGGTAGTATATGATCAAGAACCAATGGAATTGAAGCAAGAAGTCCAAGCTGCACTAAAGTCATTGGCAAAAAAACAAGGCCCCAGGAATTGATGGAATACAAACTGAGGTGTTTCAACAAAGTGATGTAGCACTGGGACACATGCTCTTCTATACCAAGAAATTTGGAAGACAGCTGCATGGCAACTGATTAGAAGAGATCCATATTTGTGCCCATTCCAAATAAAAGTGACCCAATGGAATGCAGAAATCATTGAATGAGATCATTAATATTACATGCAAGTAAAATTTTGCTAAAGATCATTCAAAAACAGTTAAAGCATTACATTGACAGGAATCTTCCAGAAATTCAAGCTGTATTCAGAAGAGGACATGGAATAAGGGATATCATTGCTATGTCAGATGAATCTTGACTGAAAGCAGAGAACATCAGAAAGATGTTTATTTTGCTTTATTGACTATGAAATGGTATTTGACTATATGGATTATAAATTCTGGATGACATTGAGAAGAGTAGCTATTTAGAATACTTAAGTATGCTCATGAAGAAGTTATACACAGATCAATAAGCAGTTGTTCAAACCGAGCAAGGTGATTCTGAATGGTTTAAAATCAAGAAAGGTGTGCACCAAGGTTGTAGCTGCATACCGAGCAATAATTGTGGCATGAAGCTTGATGGAAGACTCTTAACAACCTGAGATATGCAGATGACACTACCTTGTTTGTTAGAAGCAAAGAGGACTTGAAATGATTACTGATGAAGATCAAAGCCTTCAGTATGGATTGCACCTCAGTATAAAGAAAACAAAAATACAGCTGGACCAATACACAACATCTTGCCAAACAGAGAAGAGATTGAAGTTGTCAAAGACTCTTTTTTCTATTGACAACAAAAAAAAGGTAAACAGATGTGAAGTTCAGTTTTGTACATTTTCCTTAAGTACCTAACATTATTGTGCCAGAAAGTGAATACACACAAATCACCAAAAACGATGTATATTGAAACAAGGCTGTATAAATTTGTTCATTGTCTTAATTTTAATAACAAATAAAAAATCATTGTTTTACGATGAGACTGTATTAGCCTGGGGTATATAGAATTTTAAAACTTTGCGATGGTTTCAAAAATACGGCCTTCAAAACAACCAAATTTTTCAATTAATCTGGGTGTCAGGGCGCCCTAGTGACGTTGTTAAGCTGCGCGACTCCTTCCACCGACTCTGTCGACGTCCAGCGTTTTATCAAGGAAGCGCTGGGAAAGGAAGGACTACCGCTATCATTGCAGACAACATCCTTGCGCGCCCCCTTGTGGCCGCCGAACTCCCGGCCTAACACTAAGTCTCCTTCCCTCTCTCTGCTGTCTGGATTGGCGCATGCGTCCAGCTCCTAGTCCAGACCGGCTCGAGGGCGGGGAGGCGACGCCTGGAGGTGAAACTGAAGGGCTGCGAGAGGTGGACTTTTGGCGGGGCCTGTGGACCTAGAGAGGCTGAGGCTCTACGCAGGTGCGATGGCGGAGGAACAGAAGTGCCGTAGTGCCGAGCCAGACCCCAACCGTAAGACAGTTGCGACTGCAGAACCGACGAGGCCCCCAGCTCAGACCTCTGAGATCGCTGCTGAGTCATCGGAACCTGAGGACTACGACAGCAAGTGTGTGTTCTGCCGGATCGCGCGGGGGCAGGAACCAAGCACCGAACTTCTGCATTGTGAGGTGGGCTGTGATGCGTGGCCAGGGTGAGCTCGGGGTTCCCACCCCACTGGAGCTCCTCCCTGGAGGCCTCGCTGGTGTGCGCGGGGTGGGGTCCTGGTAGCCCCTCAGTGCTCGCGGAGGGTGCAGGAGTTCGGCTGTGTAGATGGGGTTTGGGATCCTGATGATCATTCCAGCTCTGGAGGGAAGGCTCCCCCGTGTGACTGGGAGCTGGGAGAAGCTGGGGCCCGTACTGTTAGTGACAGACTTGCTTCTGTCTGGGGAAGGGACGTGGCCCCGAAACACTGCCACTGTTCGGAGGGAATGTAAGGTAGCAAGAGAGCCAAGTACCTGGACTTCTCTCTGCTAGGGTCACATGAGGGGCTGGAAGGGAAATACCATTTGGTGACCTATTAAAGTCTTATTAAACTCTTGACACGCCCCTCTTCCTGCCATTTTTCGAAACCGCTTTTAAACGATATACATTCTAATATCCATAACTTAGAGAAAGCTGATAGAAAATATTGATTGTTGTGAAAAACTATTAAATTGCCTGAAAATAGAGTGGGAGGAGTGGGTCTCAGGTCCAACTAGTCCTAGCCTCTGATTTCCACTGAATTTTGCAAAGAACAAACAACACTTGGAACTGCTGTCAAGAAATCAAACGACCTATTGAATTAGAATTAGGCATATCTGCTGCACAAGACCTCTTTAAAGCATTCAAGAGCAAAGATCAGTTTGAGGGTTAGGGTGTGCCTGACCCAAATCAAAGGTATTTTCAATAAGCTCATATGCATGTGAAAGTTGGACAGTGAATACGGAAGACTGTAAAAGAATTGATGCATTTGAGTTGTGTTGGAGGAGAATATTGAAAGTACCACGGGCTGCCAAAAGAACAAACAAATCTGTGTTGGAAGAAGTGCAATCAGAGTGCTCCTTGGAAGCCAGGATGGCCAGACTTTGTCTCTCGTACTTTGGACATATTGTCAGGAGAGACCAGACCCTGAAGAAGAACATCATGCTTGGTAAAGTGAAGGTCCATTGAAAAAGAGGAAAACCCCGATGAGATGGACTGGCATAGTGGCAGCAGTAATAGGCTTAAGCATAGCAACAATTGTGAGGTTGGCGCAAGACTAGGCAGTGTTTCATTCGGTTGTGTCCCTATGAGTCAGTACTGACTCGATGGCACGGAAGATACTTGGGACCTGTTAATATTTGAATATCCAGATATTTAAAAACAGATATCTGATATACACATTGCTCTACTGTTTTACTTGTCTTTAAAGAAACACTGTCTTTTGATTTAGCTCCAAAGATTGTATTGGTTATTTGTTGTTGTCATTAAGAGCTATGGAGTCAGTTCTGACTCATAGCTATTCTGTATAGAGATCCCAAGGAGCAGCTGGTGGGCTTGAACCACTGACTTTGTGGTTAGCAGTCCAGTGCTTTTCCTACAGCATCACACCAGGACTTGCATTGGTTATAGCAATATTTAATTCATTTATTAAAAAGAAATTGAAGCTCTTTTAATAAGCACTTTATTCTGCAGATTCAATGGTGATCAAGATTAAAGGATAGTCATTGCCCAGATTATATGAATTAAAGGGAAAATAAGTACAGAGGAGTCAGCCAATTACAATGCCATGCAAGGTGATTTTGCTGGCTGGTGGAAGGGGTTCCTAACTCAGACTTGAGGGATGAAGGAAGGCTTTCCAGAGGAAATGAGACCTGAGTAAATAGGAGTAGACCAGGTGAGAAGAATATTCCTGGTAGAGAGAACTCCAGAGGTTCCGAGGCAAGAAAGAACTTTGTTCCATAAGAGAACTAAAAGAAATTCAGTTTCACAGAAGCATAGAGTTTGAGGGGAATTGGAAGGACTTGAGGGATTTGTTCTTTGAAAGATCATTCTGGCAGTATTATGGAGTTGATTTGGAGGCAGTTTGGAGACATTTGATTTCATGCATTTGTATCATGGTATTGGTGAAGAATATTGAATATGCTATGGTGTACAAGAAGAATGAGCAAATCCCTCTTAGAAGAACAATTAGAACACTCCTTAGGAGTGAGGATGGTGAGGCTTCATCACACGTATTTTGTACTGTTTAAGGAGGGACTAGTTCCTGAAGAAGAAGAAGATGCTTAATAAAGTAGAGGTTCCGTGAAAAAGAAAACCCTCCCTGAGATGAACTGTCTGTTAGTCATAATGCGATAGTTTAGGTATTGCTATAATGTTGGAAACTATGCCGCTGGTATTTCAGATACAAGCAAGCATCCATGGTAGACAGATTTCAGCAGAGCTCCCAGGAAATGACAGACTAGGAAAAAAGATCTTAATGATCTACTTCTGAAAATTAGTCTATGCATTACAGCAGAATATTGACCAGTATAGTGCTGGAAGATGAGCCACCTAGGTTGGAAGACACTCAAAACATACAGTGTGTGATGGCTAAATAAGGTACCGTGGTCGGTCCATGATTCTCAGTGATGTGATAGTTTTGATATAGCCATCTCCCCTGATGACATTTGATATAAAGTAATTACCTCCAAGATTAATTGAAAGGCAGCTTCCTTGGGGTATAAAGGTAAGTGACCTTTACTTATATCCATAAGTATTGGATATTAAAAAATCCAATATTTATGGCTATTCTGGCAAAGCTCTCTTTTTGCTGGATTCTGGCAAAGCTCTCTTTTTTGCTGGATCTGGATCCTACATCTGGCTGACCATCATCTGACTTCCAGTTCTCTGGATTTGAGGCAGCGGCCTGCCATGTTGCCTGCCAGTTGTGGGAGTCACTAGACTCTGCCGCTTGTGAGTCAGAGCCTACCATCTTATCTGCTGACCTTGAATTCATCCACCTCCAAAGCCAATAGCCTGCTATCGAACCTGCAATCTTGGGCTTGTCAGCAACTGTTGTAGTGTAATGGTTACTAATCGGGCTGCTAACCTCACAATCAGCAGTTTGAAACTACCAGCTGTTCTGTGGGAGAAAGATGAGACTTTCTGCTCCTCTAAAGATTTACGGCCTCGG